CTTTTCTGCTTCCCATCAAACACCTTTCTGTTTTCCCACATAATTCCTCCCTGGGACTACCTCCCTGGTCACAACTGCAGAGAAACCTTGCTCATCTCTCCTAAATTCCTACCAAAATCTCTCCTTTGCTGCTGAAATAGTACAACAGTGGCCAGGCTTCCAGAGTGCTGTGCCTGCTCTGTACCCAGCTGACCCATCTCACCATTTCCTTGTGCTCCACCCCACGTCTAGCCCAGTTCTTGCCTCTTGCTGGGTATTTCATGCATAAAACCTGCATGTCAGTGAGAGTCCTTCCACTCCGCCCGTGAAGCAGATACACACACAGCAGCAACACCCGAGTCAGGAATCCCAGGTCTATGACAGTGCAATAATTAATAACATCTTTAATGTTACCGAGAACTCAACTTGCCAAGGCTGAACCTACACCCTGACTTGTGATGGAGCCTATTAAGTTTCCCCGATAACAGACAGAAATGCAGAGGCAGTATTTCAGTTTATTTCAAAGACAAAACTCAAGCACATCCATTGTGTATTCAAAAGGCCAAAACATGAATGCAGACTCTGAGCTACATCACTTGTGGTGGTGCTTCTCCAAGAATAAATCTCCCAGTGGCTCTCACTGGCAAATAGGACAGAGCATTTCAGTTGTCAGTGACTGATTAAGCCATGCCCACTTTGGAAACAGTTAAAAGCTACTGTCGTGTCATGATTCTTGGTCAAGGATTCTTGTGTGTTTGTAGTTTCTTTCCATCATGTGACAAATAAGCCCATCTGTGCTGATTTAGTCTCAGCTTTATGACCTAACTAGGTAAAAGATAACATTCAGACTCTAAGTATATTTTGTAGAATGTACTCTTAAAATATATCAAAAACCTCTCTCTTCAAATGAAATTTTGCTTGTGATCATAGCAAATGAAAGACTGGAAAGGACAAAAATGCCCTCGAATATCAGGTAGTCAGCTTTGCAGTTACTAAGAAGTTGCTTTGCTCTGTTGAGTTTATTGTGTCACCAAAACCCTACCAGCCATTGCTGTACAAAGCCTGCATTGTCTCAGCAAGGCCACTGAGATGTTCCTGATCTTGGCAAGAGCTAGGTGTACCCAGAAGCATTTTATTGAAGAAAAGAAATTACAACAGCAGAAAGAAATATTATTTTAGGCCTCCTACTGGAAAGACAAAGGTCAAAGTCCTTCCTTCTGATAAAGAGCACAGAAAAATATCTTGTCCATTATCCAACAGGATCCATTTTACAACCTTGAAAATTGCACCTAAAAATCCCCATATGAAACAAATTTCAAAGTGGCTTAACATCAATATAAGGAGGATTTGTGGGTTTAAGTCATCAGTCATTTGGAGATCGCAACCTCCTGATGAAAGAGGCAACTACATATACCCATACACAGGCATGGAGGTAGTACCTACATAGTTAGTCAGATCTGCTTCCTCGCTACAAAGCAAACCTGATCTTTACATTCATCTAAGTAACTGATTTCTTATCTTCAACAGGAACAGGATCTGGCAACATTTCTTCACAAAGAGCACATATTTTCCCCTGTTAAATTTCTCAATAAATCAGAGCAATTCTGATCTGGGAAACCATGCACAGATGATCAGAGCCAGCAGTTTGAAAGAAAAAGCCAAGATTATATTATTGCTTCACCTGTAAGTGTAGTATAACATCTGCTGGAGTGTCATTCTAATAGTGCTGTGGGCTCCTACAGTAAGCCAACTTGCATACCCACTCCAGAGTAACCCCTGGATCTTCTTCTCTAGCTGTAGGATATTAATGCATTTTGAATATGTCATTGCCATGCCAGTGAGTAGGACTTCAGTATACACCTAAAACCATAAAAACCAATTTCACTAGTTGTCAGAGCCAGTAATAAGCCTACAATGGTGGAAGTAAGAATTGCCACCTATGTTGCTGGGATTAAATAGTTTTAATCAGCCACCAAAAAAGCATTTATTTCCAACTTTTTACCCAAGCAATCTTAATTTTCACAGGGGGAAACAGCTGGCAGTGGAAAAAAATATATCCACAAGCAAAAGCAAACCCCTCTGCTTTCTGTCAGATGTTCTCACAGCTTTTTCAGAAGAGCATGTAGCATTTTGCAGAGTGGTAGCAAAGGAGCAAGGGGGCTCTGCCACGTGGAGGAAGCCAAGACCCCAAAACATGGGCAACCCCAAAAGCAGACCTCCATGCTGAGGAGAGCCCTGCTGAAGCCAGCCAGGCATGGTCTGCATAAGGTCAAGGTTTCAGACCAAACCGCCACCAAAACAGTATTCTCTGAAGGATCTGCCATCTCTGGTGCTTATAGTAAATACTTTTATTCAAAGTTTTTCAGCATTTTTTTAATCTGGTGTATTGAAGGCAGCACATTCCTTTACTTTCTAAAAATTCAAACAAAGATCTCTCATCCCAGGCCACCACAAGGACACACAGAAATAATTATCAACTGTATTTACATGCCAGCCAACTCTAAATATTTCCCTAACGACACTTGGGGCCTGGAGCCTGTGTCTCAGAAGAAGTCGGTACCCAAAAGGAGGAAAGGGAGCCAGGGTCTCCCCAGGCAGGAAGACAAGGTGGGAGCACCTGACCTCAGCTCCTGGTGGGATGCATGGCTTTATAACAAGGCAGGAGAAAAAACTCTCCCAGGACAGGAATATGCAGGGAAGTGGGAGAGAGAGAACAAATAGGCAAGAAGAGTGTTTGTCTTTTCATTTATCTCCCAGACAGCAGTTTGTTAGCCTTTAGCACTCGTGCTAAGAGTCTGCCAAACACCAAACAGCGGTGTATTCCCAGCATTAACTCTGTTTCCTCTCCAAGACAGAGCGTTGCCTTCCAGTTTTCCAGCTTTATACCAGGCTCTGCTTAACACCAGGGCAACCTCTCACCCCCACGGCCTGGCACCTGCGGCGCGGGCGCGCAGCCTGCCGGCAATCCCGCTGGCAGCCGGCCTGCGCCCAGCCGCTCGCCACCTCCTCCATTGCGAAAGACGCCTAGTTCCCCCTCTCACTTCATGTGAGCTCGGCTCGACTGGTAAAGAATAATTGCAGGCTTGTCCAAATTATCATTTGCAAAGTCTAGGAGGCACTTAAAGGTACCAATATTCAATTTGTGTTAGCCTCAGGCAGCTCATTTCAGGCTGGTCTTCTTACACTCCTGCCCTCTGCCAGGTCAACCCAGTTGAGCTGCTAAAATTTAGGAAGGATTTTGCGACCTGTTAGATCCCAGCCCATCTTTAACTATTATAATACTTTGGCTTTGGCTCAAAGTTTTGCTTTAAATTCCTAAGAAGAAATGAGCTGTACAGCTTTCCTTCTTAAAAAAAAAAAAAGTAAAAAAAAAAATCAGCGAGTCCCTGGTATTTCTCATCTAATCACACATACCTCAGAGTGAAGGAGATGCTTGACCTCCTGATCAATACGTGTATTTTAAACAGTCATCAGAAACTTTTCCCAGATAAGGTCCAATTCTTATGCTAATGTCTGTAACAGAGTGGCAGACAGCAGCCTATCTCGGGGCCTTCTCATCTCCTCTCTGTCACTTGTGCCGCTGCTCAGCATTCTGCACCAACTACACTATTTCAAATGTTGAAAAAGAAACAGCCATACAAACAAAATACTCCTTCCAAAATTTACTTCAAAGACATTAGGCATATCACGCTGTGGTTTTTCTTTGACAAGGAGAAACATACATCTTTTAATTTAAAACTCTCAGATCTGCAGATCACTTCCTTATTTAATACCTGCTTCTGCCCCTCATCTGTCATCTTTCCTCAGAATCACCAGAAATCTGTCACTTGGAGTCACCAAAACTTCACCAAGAATCTTTGCAACCCTCTCCGTTTGCCTTTTCGCCCTAAAAATATTTTTAGATATATTTTCTAAACGAAATTCTGTCCTCTTGTGTTGTCACCCCAGTCACAGAAGAGTAACCCCTCGGGTAAGGACAGAGGGAGAACAGACCAAACCGAGAAGCGACGGTACCTACCTGGAGCCCGCCTCAGCGCCCAGCACCATTCGCAGCAATGGCAACGTTTCGGGGCAGCACCCTAATGCATTTTCCTTTCTACCGCGCTGCTCAGCGAGAGTTGAGCAACTCCTCACCCTGCTGCTTGGAGCAACAGCTCTCCCAGCCTTAACACTCGCTCCTGGCTTTGCTTTTTTTTTTTTTTTTTTTTTTTTTTTTTTTTTTTTTTTT